GATAACAGAGGTTGTTCTTGTTCAGAATAATATTTCTTTAAAATATTCAGCTAAACATAATATTTTGCCTATGATATGAATGGCATGGACTATATTGGGATGATTATTACCTCCCTTGACCCAAATGCAAAAGTCCTATTAATTCATCTTAAGATCAATTCAGTTTTGTTTAACTATCTTCACATGTGTATGCTTACATGGCATCTTTAACCAGGTGAGGCTCTTCTTAGAAAGTTAGTGCCTTCACTTGGGTTCAGCTATGCCTTGCTATAGAAACTTCTTGAAGTATTTAAATAAATTAAATTTTGAACCAAGATAATGACACCATGAATATATAAGAATGTCATCCCTGTTTTTCACATTTAGGAATACAAAGAAATATTTAGACAGGCTTTTCTAAATTGAAAAACATATATATATATATATATATATATAAGTAAACAAATTAAAAGAAAGTTAGGACTGTGAAGAAAGCTGGGTGCCGAAGAATTGATGCTTTTGAACTGAGGTTGAAGAAGACTCTTGAGAGTCCCTTGGACTGCAAGGAGATCCAACCAGTCCATCCTAAAGGAGATCAGTCCCGGGTTTCATTAGAAGGACTGATGCTGAAGCTGAAACTCCAGTACTTTGGCCACCTCATGTGAAGAGTTGACTCATTGGAAAAGACCCTAATGCTGTGAAGGATTGGGGGCAGGAGGAGAAGGGGAGGACAGAGGATGAGATGGCTGGATGGCATCACTGACTCGATGGACATGAGTTTGGGTAAACTCCAGGAGTTGGTGATGGACAGGGAAGCCTGGTGTGCTGCGATTCATGGGGTCGCAAAGAGTTGGACATGACTGAGCAACTGAACTGAACTGAACTTGTAGAAAAAAAATATATATTGCCTACTATATTTGGAAGAAGTAAAGTGCTTCTGTGATAGGTATGTTTTTAAAATAATCCAAGATTTTAACATATTCAAAATCAATTTCTTTATATTCTAAAGACATAAATCTGCCTGAATGTTCTGCATAATTCTGCCAGAACTTTTCATATAATGGGATCTGCCTACTGATACTTCATGCTTATTACAAAACACATGAAACAAGAAATGAAGACCAAAGAACTTTTTTCTTATTAAGATTTTTCAAAGAATATATTAGAAAAAATGTGTTAAGACAGTGGAAAATAAAAAATGGTAAGGTTTTAAACTTTATTCTACAAAAAAGCAGAAAATAAATCCAGTACTATGAGAAATATGTGGTCCCAACATAATACAAGTTATATATTTTTTCATATAGTCCTAAAGCTGAAAATAAACTCTCTAGGCATTTAGGTCGTTCCAATTATTTCTCAGAAAAGTTACCTCAAACTGTCGGATAGACTTTTTTAGGTTTAACTATCATCATTTCTATTTCCCCACTATGAGTTGCTCTTTCCCTTTTAAATCCTCTCATTCCACCCATTTCTCTTGTCTTTTAAGTGCACAGAATGTTATCAAGTAGCAAAACCCAGAGGATGGATTTTGGTTATTGAATTTTAAAAGAAACTGAAGCAATTATAGTAATTAGTAGTCAATAAAATACTTTCAACCAAATAAAATTAATCTAGATACTGTTCTATATTTTTAAATTTCCTAAGGCAACCTTTCATGATAAAAATGCTACAACTTCACATCAGTACTGATCTTAATGCCACAACTTGTGTTAGAGAAAGCATTATTCACAAAAGACAAGTTAAGACTGAATTAAATCACAGTGATTAATTTGCTTGTGGGTTTAAAGCTGAATTCAAAAAAAAACTCTATAAACCTAAATATATGGAAGTGGTAGAAATGAAATCTCAGTAATTGGGGTGAAGGTTTTCTCTAATTAGCTGCAATGCATCATTAAATTCTACAGTACCAGCAGCTTAAAAAATATATAGCTGTTTTAAAACCAACAAGAGAAGCATTAGAACAAGGATTTTGTTTTACACATTATTTTTGTCCCAGAAAATAATACTGAAGTGGGTAGTAGCCATCCCCTTCTCTAGGGGATATTCTGACCCAGGGATCAAACCTGGGTCTCCTGCATTGCAGACAGATTTTTTTAAGATCTGAGCCACCAGAGAAGCCCAGTATCAAAGAGCATAACTCTTAAAAACCAGATGTTGTTTACTAAAGCTACCTTCAAGTAAATCCATATTTCTAAGATTATTTCTACAACTATAAGATTTTTGTGATTACTGTCATCAAACTTTCATTTTCTTTTATCTATCTTATTTTAACAGACTCAAGTAATGTCATTCCTATTATCAAAAGTAAAGATGAATTATATAACAGATAGATACATGGATGGATAAATAGATGGATAGATGGATTAGATAAATAAGATGAAAAGATATACAACAGAGAAACAGAAAAGATAGAAAGCTTGGTTGCTGTTTTGAAAATAATTTATAAAGGGACAGGGGAGGATGCACAGATCAATCACTTGGCTACAAAATAACTCACATAGGACAAGAGAGAGTGACTTTAACCAAGTAATAGGAATGGAGGTGGTGAGAAAGCACATCCATGACTTTGTTTTATCCAACAGCTAATTCATTTTAATATTTTTACTTATTTCTTTAAAAATATTTTCATGTGAATAAAAATTTTATTTCAATTTTAATATTAACTTCATCTTTTTTCCCTGACACTCCATTTTCCATGAATATTCTACCAATCAGAAGTACATTTCTGTGACCACAAATAGTGAATAGCAAACAACCAAAACAATGTCCATACTAAGAACTACATTGTGGATGCCCTTCCATGCACACCCGATGCCAGCGTATTATACCCTAACTGTATCAAGAAGCAGACAGGTAAGTAGGTACTGGAGGGGAGGCTTGCAAGAATCTGTTGATTTCATTATTGAACTAACCCAGCATCTGAGAATTCAGAGAAAGAGAAAGGAACTCAAAGATCAGATCTGTACCAGATCTGTGGCATAGGCTCTGGGTTTATGTAAAGAGCTATCATTCCAACATTTTACTGGTGTTTTCTGTCAGCAATCATAAGACCCCACTGAATTTTCTGGAAAGAAAAGCTTCTGACCAAGATACTGATTGACAAGGTAGGTGGTTGCCTCTGAGTGCAGTTTCACTGAGTGTGGACCTCAAAGAATATCCTGCATTTGGCAATTTAAACACTGATTCTCACATGCACCTCTGAGGAAGATTCTTTTCCTTCTTTGGATTCCCTCACTAATATCCTTATATTGGTTCAGGCACACATTAATCAAATTCCACAGATGTGCAATTTGTCCTTTTCCTCTCTGTGGTCACATATTTCACATTAAGGGACCACTTAATTGCATCTTGTAAACTGTGGGGAAATGAGCAAATCTCACCTGCTTTCATAATTCTTCCACACAGCTATCCTCCAGAATCTCACTTGCACTCTCTGCAGGCTTCCCTTTTTCAATTCTTACTTTTCAAGTCCATTCCCTTCAATTCCCCTCAGCCGTTCTGCCCCAACAAGACCTGTTCTGGCTTAAAACTTCCTACTTGCTTCATGAAATTCCCCTAACTAAACATCTACTTTGTTTGTTGGTTCTTTCACCATGACACTGACAGAAATACTACGTCAACCTCCTATGATTAAAAACACGAAATTTGTGGGAAATGGCAAGGAAGACTATGTGCTGATTTGTTGTGGTTCAGTTGCTCAGTCATGTCCAACTCTTTGCAACCCCATGGACTGTAGCATGCCAGGCCTCTCTGTCCTCCACCATCTCCTGGAGCTTGCTCAAATTCATGTCCATTGAGTTGGTGATGCCATTCAACCATCTCACTCTGTCATCCCCTTCTCCTCCTGCCTTCAATCTTTCCCAGCATCAGGGTCTTTTCTAATGAGTCAGTTCTTTGCATCAGCTGGCCAAAGTACTGGAGCTTCAGCTTCAGCATCAGTCCTTCTAATGACCATTCGGAACTAATCTCCTTTAGGATGGACTGGTTGGATCTCCTTACAGTTCAAGGGACTCTCAAGAGTCTTCTCCAGCACCACAGTTCAAAAGCATCAATTCTTTGGCACTCAGCCTTCTTTGTGATCCAACTTTCACATTCATACATGGCTACTGGAAAAACTATAGCTTTGACTATATGGACTTCTGTTGGCCAAGTTATGTGCTGATTACCATATGTCAAAAATGTGCTGATTACCAAATGTACTGATTACCATAGGTCAAAAATCAGTACCTAAAAATAAAGCCTTCATCAATGCTTATAGAGTGAAATAGCTCAAGATCAGTTTTCTCTAAAATTCTTATATGCAAGCCCTACTTGTCATTCTCTACATTAGATGTGAATCAGCTGGGTATAGGATGTGAGGACTTTTAATTTGACTTTATTTATCATGAGGGAACTTTGATTTCTTCTTTCAGCCTGGTATAAGTTAGATGGGAAAAATTTAGATATTCCATGAAAAGACAAGAAAGAAATTAGGACTGTTAGGTGGGTTACAAAGGTGGTATTCATAAGTTTTGTAAGGAAATGGGGAAAACAAAGAATTTTAAGTTGCATTATAAAACATAGAAGAGAGAGAAGAGGAATTTAGGTAGAGGATAAAATAGAAGACATATAATCTTTCAGTTATAAGCATGGACGTTTCCAAATTTTAAGTGAGCAAAGTATCAAAAGAGAAATTAAGAATAAAATCTAGCAGGAGAAATGACAACACTGTAGGCATTTTTGAGGTATTTGGAAAATTATTCAGAGTGGTAATGACAGTGTTTTAGGCAAATTAAGTAATTAGTTGTTTTCAGGAGCCATAATCCCTAAATTAAGTGTGATGACCACTAGTACTAATGGATGATTAATAGTTGATTGCTTTCTATCTTCTAAGTGCTAAACAATATGATTGACTGATATTTGCTTGTGAAATACAGAATAACAATAACATACAAGTAATATGTGAGTGACAAAGTTACATGCATCTGAAAATCCTATTGAAACATAAAATAAGTAATAAAAATGGTTATAATAATCCATACCTTTTCTGTGTCAATGCCTTTTGACATGGACCATGTTGAGACAATATAATCCATGACTCGTTCACTAAGGCCTTTGGGGACCTGATACAGTTTCAGAAAGTCCCGTACATTATTCAGCATCTCATGGTATCGGTTGGTGTTGGCATACATTTGCTGGAAAATTGTGGTAACATTTCCAAAAATAGTTGCATAAAGAAGAGCTGAAAGAGAAGATATGAAAATAAAACAAATATCCCAAGTGAAAATAAATGATATGAATACTGGGCAGATCAATAAATTATCTGACAGAGATACCTTAACAAACTTTTCAGGATTATGCATGATAACCCCCTGAGAAGAGGGCCTAGAATTTGCTATTCATTCAGTAAATCTTATCTTTAGTATGATAAACATGATTTTATGAGTGACAACCAGCTAGTCAGTTTAGTAAAACATAATGGTGATTGATAGATTTCATGAAGAATTAGATGATCCAAGTTTATGATTTGCCTCTTAGCCTTATCACTAAAATTATCCTCCAGCCCTGTCTTCCTGAATGAAGCTTAATCAATTTAAAATTTTGAGGACTTGATGATTCATTTTAGAAATATATGATCATTCTCATTGCATGCTTTTTCCAGCTTTTGGAATATTTCCCTGCTTATCAATATTTTTGACAGAATATCAAAAATATAGGATGAAAAGACAAATCAAGGTGTTTCATTTCTAGAAGGTTCTAGGAAGAAACAGGATTGGAATCAACAGCTAAAATAAAACTTTGGGAGTGCCTATAATTTACACTTATTAAATTTATGTCATAAATCCAGTAGTGTAAGGATTTTTTTACTTCATTATTTTAATTAAGAATAAAGTAACTTGTAACCTGCAAACCACTGTTATCTATCTATAAGAGCTAAAAGTATAAGGTGTTTTAATGCCCCTGATTGCTACTTCCTCCATCAACCAATAATTTACCAACTCCTCTTTCTCCAGATTTATCAGGTTACTAATGTTGACCTGATCTTGAAAAAGCTTTTAAAAGCAGTTGAGTTCAGAGCCAAATCAACACATCTTCAATCACACACCACTCCTAACCCATCGTGTCCCTTTAGTTTTATCTCTTAACAATAAGCTCTTTTGAAAAGAGGGCAGTATTTTAGTCCCTTTAATATTCAGTAAACACTATGTTTAATAACCATACTCATTCCAAAAGCATTTCACAAATGGGTAGAATATCAGACAATGATCACTTCCTTTCTTATTCCTCTAAGCATTTGAAAAAATAATCCCTCTGAACAAAAAGTACAAACTGCTTCATTTCACAGTTTCATCAGTCAAGTCCCACTTGATGGAAAGAGTGTAACATCAAACCAGTGAAGCAACTTAAGATCCTCAATCTATTTTCAGAAAATCACTTGTTTTCTTTAAGAACAGTGGCTCTTTGAGCATAACAAATTAAAATTGCACAATAGGAAGTTATGATTTTACAAGCAGTTACTCGGGTTCTTTTTTAATCATTTTTTAGGGTTTTTTTGTTTGTTTGTTTGTTTTTACGGGAGTTTTTGCTATTATTTTGGGATGTTGGTGTCAGCACAGAACAATTTTTAAGATAGACAGTATTTTGTTAAAACTAAGTAGGAAGACTATAATGCTGACACTTCTCAACAAGATCTTTAAATTGTTCAGTATTTATATTTAAAAACAACAACAAAAGAAACAACAACAAAAAAGTAGAGGTAATCACAGACTTAAAACTCTATTCCTCATTGTTGGTATTAAGAAAGACAAGTGAAGAAATAATGTGAACAAACTAATGGTAGAAGAATCATATAACCAGTATGGAATTTTGAATTTCCAAGAAAGTGACATGAAAAGAGTTTATGTTTTTAAAATAATGAGCTTTTCACAGGTTAATTAAATAATGCTACAGTCATGCTTTTGAATAGCCCCCAGCTATTTTAAGATGTCAGTGAATATTACAGAAATATTACCTTGACATCTTCAACTTGTTTGGCTCCCTAAGATGCTTGTAATATGTTATATTTGCCAAAGTGTCTTACCACTGCCTTTTAGTTAAACAAATTACCACACATTTCATCTTTTGGGGTACATTAAATATGCATACATTCTAGTCATATGAATAGCTTAAGCACTGAAATATGAATAAAACTGTCAATGTATTTGCAGTTTTCAACATTAATAAATGAAAGATATAATCAGCATCCCATTAAGCTGGATATATTACAAAGATATCTTCTGCCTCTAGCTTTCATGTGAGTGTGGTGTCCTACACTGAGTAAGACTAATCAAGGTCATAAATTAAGGTAAGACATTCAACTGTATACATATAATTATGTGTATACATATATATATATAATTTATATGTATAAATATGTATGCATATTTGTACACACATATTTGTAATATGTGTAATATATAATTATATATACATATATAATACATACATAATTATGTATATAATTTTTTACTTTGAAATGTTATAAAAATCAGCAGAAAGCTCACATATACCCACATGTAGCTCTCTCAATTATGACATCCTACAGAGACATTACTTTGCCAACAAAGGTCCATCTAATCAAGGGTATGGTTTTTCTAGTGGTCATGTATGAATGTATGGTCATGTATGGAATATAAAGAAAGCTGAGCAAAGAAGAATTGATGCTTTTGAACTGTGGTGTTGGAGAAGACTCTTAAGAGTCTCTTGGACTACAAGGAGATCCAACCAGTCCATCCTAAAGGAGATCAGTCCTGAGTGCTCATTGGAGGGACTGATATTGAAGCTGAAACTCCAATACTTTGGCCACCTGATGCAAAGAACTGACTCATTGGAAAAGACCCTGATGCTGGGAAAGATTGAGGGCAGGAGCAGAAGGGGACGACAGATGAGATGGTTGGATGGCACCACCCACTCAATGGACATGGGTTTGGGTGGACTCTGGGAGTTGGTGATGGACAGGGGGGCCTGATGTGCTGCGGTTCATGGGGTCACAAAGAGTCGGACACAACTGAGCAACTGAACTGAACTGAACTAACTATAAGAATTTGCCTGCCAATGCAGGAGATGTAAGAGATGCAAGTTCAATCCCTGGGTTGAGAAGATCACTTGGAGGAGGAAATAGCAACCCACTCAATATTCTTGCCTGGAGAATCCCACGGACAGAATTGGAGGGCTACAGTCCATGGGGTCACAAAGAGTCGGACATGACTTAGTGACTGAACAACAAAAACAAATAGACATTATACTTAACTAGTATTTTACATGCAGTCATTTTTGAGGTATATAACTTTATATAAGTTCTATCATCTGTACAAATCTATGTAATATATGTATATTTTTAAAAAGAGAAATCAGTTCTTCTTAAAAATATTTTCAACATTTAGGACGAGTGCACATTTCATAAAATATGGTGACAGCAAGTATGACATTCCATGGCAAGCAACAATACTGCTTCCCACCACAGTTTGTGTTCACAGAATAAATGAGTACATCCTTAAGGAAAGTGACCCTGGAACATGACACCCGACAATGAAAGAAATAGATCTCAATAGAAACTAGCTCTATACTGCTAACTCCCAAAGTAATAACCTCTTTCTTGAATTACAGATACACAGATATTATTGAATGTCTAATGCCATTCAAATCTAACGTGTTCAAAAGAGAACTCATTTAACCCTACCTTCTCTTCAACAACCAAGTGCATTTTTCATCTCATTAAATTGCAAAGCCACACCTATTTGCTCAGACCAAAGCTACAGAGTCTTTCTTTTTTTTTTTTAAGAAAGTAAAAAGAGAAATTTATTGGCTAACAATCAGTAGACTATTGAAATCTAAGCCTCCGGAAGACTAGGAAAGCCAAACACTAAGAACTTGAGTGGATCTCCTCTCTCTGTCTGTGATCTCTTGTCTCTGGCTGTTTCCTCTCTCTCAAGTCCGCCTTCTCCACGTGGCAGGACAGGCATTGTATGATTTGGGTTGATGGTGACATACAGAGTCTTTCTTCAATTCACTCCTTAATTCATCTAATCTACTCCATTATCAACTCCTATTGGCTCTACCTTCAAAATAGAGCCTCAATTCAACTTCTTCTCGCCACCTCTACCAGCATCCTTGTCTCCTTTAAGACATGCTTTCCCACTGACTAGCGATTGTGTCTTTGGACCAGTTGCTAGAGCTCTCGAGAATTCTATTTCCTGTCTTATAACTTTACAGTTACTCTAGACTCTTTACAAAGGAGTTGTGCTAAATAAGATAACTCATATAAAATGGTTTTAAGAGTCCAATAGGGAGTAAGCATCCATCAAATGTTATGTATATATCATCATCATCTTCATGGAAATAGCTTCCAAACTATTGACTTTCACTCAGCAGAAAAAACAAACCCTTCATGATCAGTCTCCACCCGGTATTATGCCTTTGTTCCTAAATTTATTCATCACTACTTTAATTTATATGACATATTTATCTGTTGATATCTACCTTCCCAATTAGAAATGCAAAATCCATAAGTACTAGCCTGGCCTTTTCCTTTCTTTTTTGCTCACTGCTGTATTTCCAGAACAAAGATCAGTTCCTGAGATATTATAGGTATTTAAATATTTTCTTTCAGTAAGCTGACACACCAAAAACCTAGGAAACATTTTTTTCAGAAACATTCTTTTTTTCAAGTCAAAATTTCACTACTGGTGACACAAAAACATAGAAGAAGTACACATTATTAATGCACATGAGAGAATAAAATGTTGAGAAGCTAAGGCGATACATGTCCTGGCCATATTAAGATAGTAAATGCATTGGGAAGGCCTATTGTCATTCATCAAGCACGAATGCTCTTGCTTGGCCTGGCAAGGTTTGTAGGGGACTATTATATAATTTTACACTTTGAATGGGATGCCATAGAGGTAATTTTCCTACTTTACTACTAATAATTTGATTGACCAGTTAAAATTTGTTAAGCCTCTTTTTATATGCTCTCCTGTAGCCTTTTAAGCTTAAGTCAATTTAAGACAAGCCAGTTTTACTATCTTATCATATTTAAGTGCTTCCCTCATAGCTCAGCTGGTAAAGAATCCGCCTACAATATGGAAGACCTGGGTTCGATCCCTGGATTGGGAAAATCCCCTGGAGGAGGGAAAGGCTCGAACTCCAGTATTCTGGCCTGGAGAATTCCATGGACTGTGTAGTCCATGGAGTGGCAAAGAG